CCTCAGTGAGGGCAGGGGAGCCGGTGGAAACCAGCTCAGAAAACCACCAGATGCCTCTGCACTCTACCACAAAGGAGTCTGCCAGTGCATTAGCAGAAATAAGGGAGGCAGCACTGCAAGGGGCCCCAGGCAGATAAACATCCTGCAGCACCCATATATAAAAGGAGCTGAAGAAAGCTAAAGGAAAGGAAAAACAGGCAACCTAGAATTGCCTGAACGTTCCAGCCTTGCTGATTCCAGCCCAACACCAGGAAAGCTGCCAGAACCCTACAGCCTCCAATTGCCAACATAGGAGGCCCCAGCACCAAAGCCAGTGAGCAAGACCTAGGCTCCCAACACAAGAAGCTTGGGTCAGTGCCTTCTGTTTCCCAGCAGGAGAGCTCAATCTCTTTAAAGGCCAGGGAATAAAGAAACTATGAGTAAAAAGAAATGTACCATAGATTCATATTATGAGAAGAGTGAAGATCAAGATAGAAATTCTGAAGAGGACAACATTGTCAACAAACCCATATCTGCAACATCAAAAGGGAATATGAACTGGTCTGAAGCCCAAAAAGCCTTCTTAGAAGAGTTCAAGAAGGATTTTAAAAGTCTAATGAGAGATTAAAAGTCTGAGAGAGGTAGAAGAGTCCTTAAAAAATACAATTGACCAATTGGAAATAAAGTACACTGAAGAAAACAAATCCCTTAAAAATGCAATTGGCCAATTGAAGAAGGAAGTACAAAAACTAACAGAAGAGCACACTGAAGAAAACAAGTCCCTAAAAAACACAATTGACCAACTGAAGAAGGAAGTACAAAAACTAACAGAAGAAAATAATCTGTTAAAAACTAGAATTGGATAAATGGAAACTAATGACTCTATGAAAGAGCAAGAATAAGTCAAACAGAAACAAAAAAGTGAAAAAATAGATGAAAACATAAAATACCTCATCAGTAAAACAACCAACCTGGAAAATCGATCCAGGAGAGACAACTTAAAAATTATTGGACTACCTGAAAATCATGATAAAAAAAAGATCTTGGACACTATCTTTCAGGAAATCCTGAAGGAAAACTGCCCAGAAGTTCTAGAACCAGAAGGTAAAATAACCATGGAAAGAATACACAGCTCACCACCTGAAAGGGATCCCAAATTTGAAATGCCAAGGAATATAATAGCAAAATTCCAAAATTGCCAGATGAAAGAGAAGGTGCTGCCAGCAGCCAGAAAGAAACAATTTAAATATCATGGAACCACAGTCCGGATTACACAGGACCTTGCAGCTTCTACATTAAAAGACCACAGGGTGTGGAACACAATATTCCATAAGGCAAAGGAGCTTGGATTGCAGCCAAGGATCAACTACCCTGCAAAAATGATCATGATTTTTCAAGAAAGGAGATGGATATTCAATGAAATTGTGGACTTCCAAAACTTCCTGATAAAAAGACCAGAGCTCAACAAAAAATTTGATATTCAAGTACAAGACATTCAAAATAAAATGTACTGTGTTTTTATTGATCCCAAGTTACTACCTGAAACAAAAGTTCCTCTTTTTAACACCAATATTCATGCCAGCAGCTAGCTGGTGCAGTGGATAGAGTGCTGGGCCTGAAGTCAGGAAAACTAATCTTCCTGAGTACAAATCCTGCCTCAGACATGTACTAGCTGTGTGACTCTGAGTAAGTCATTTAACCCTGTTTGCCTCAGTTTCCTCATCTGTAAAATGATCTCAAGAAGGAAATGGTGAACCACTCCAGCATCTTTGCCAAGAAAACCCTAAATGGGGTTGCAAAGAGTTGGACTCAACTGAACAACATAAATGTGTATGGCTATGAATCATGGAATATCACACCCTTCAGAGACTTAAATTTCTGAGTCTTCCAAAAGTTAATTAAGAGGCGCATATCATGTGCAAACCTGCCCGAACATATTTCTGAAGAAAAACATAGTAGAGAAAAATGACAAAAAAAATGCCTTCAGAGAAATATGTGACTAGAAAAACAAGGGTGCCTAATAATTCAGGAAGAGTGATGAATAACATTTATATGTGTGCATCATTTATATCTAAACAAGAAATCTAGAGAATAGTTATGTATATTTTGAGTAGACCCCCTATGGAGGATTTGTAAGAAAAATGGATTACTATCGAATCATTGAAGAGCAAATTTGTATTAATGAGACCACGGGTTTAAAGAGGATCCAATACCATTGCCATAGCAATCACGTTTTTTGTCCTTTCCCTTTTTCACTCAGGTAAAGAGATAGCTCGAATGTAGAAATACAGTTTGGAGGTGCAATTTTCCATTTTACCTATATAGAGTGGTTTTACTATCCCCAATGTGCTTTCACATATGTCAGCAAATAGCCATCTTGTGAGGTAGACAGGGCACATATTACTATCACAGTTTTTATAGTTGAGGAAACTAAAGCTTAGAGTTGTTAAATGGCTTGAACAAGTAATTATGTATTGCTAGCAATGGGCAAAGCCAAGACTTAAGCCCAGGTCTTCTGACTGAAACCTATGATTCCTTTTACTGTACATACTGCCTTTCATGGAAAATCCTGCCACTGCCCTGCCCCCAACACACATACACTCAATGATCTTATAATATCACAACATCCTATTTACCAGTAGTAGTTTTCTGAGATTGTCATAATAATCAAAAGCCATCTTTTCAGTTCAGAATGATCTATATTGTCACAATATTAATATAAACAGGACTCATTACAAATGCAAAATGAGGTCTCATTAAACAGCTACTAGAATATTTCTGACAGATACAACAAAAAGTACATAATTGGGTCTGATTCACTTGTACTTTTTTCCTTTAGACTTTACTAAATATTTATTATTAGTTTATGTGTGCCAAAAACATGCTGAGTGTCATGTAACACTCAGAAATATATAAGCAATTCTATTATGAATAGGCAGCCTTAAAAATCTAAATGAACATTAAGATTATTATCAAAACTATAACTATGGCCATGTGCTTGACAAAAATTTCTTCCTCATTGGTATTAATGATTAGACTAAATTAATAAACTTATGTTTTTATTTCAATGAAATAAGGCACACCTGTATTTCTGGAATACCTATACACATTATTTAGCATTAATTAACAAAAATCATGTGTAAATAATCACAAACATATAGAGTGGGTAAAAAAAAAAAACCTAAAAAACCACTGTTTTCAAGACAAAAAAATCCCAAAATGCCATGGTATTTGTAATGTACGGGTTGGAAAAAAGTATGAAGTGAAAAGGTGTTCAGACTCCTACAGAATGTGTATGTATATGTATATGTGTATGTGTATGTGTATTGTATGTGTGTGTATGTGTGCACGTGTGTGCATGTACATATAAACATATATTTATGTATATGTATGTGTATATGTATATACATATATGTGTATATATGTATTTAGAGTCCTGAATTTTGCTCTCTGTTTAATATAGTGAGACTTTGAATTGCAGCATATGTTGTATATACTATATCCTTCAGATTGTGGTACAAGAACTTAAAAATAAATTTTATAAAGATATTTCAATATAATTTATGTCCTTTGAAATCCTATGTATGCTTTAAAAAACATTATTCTAAGAAGAGAACTATAGATTTCAACATGCTGCCAAAATCCAAGATATCCCATGTATAACATAATAACCTCTCAAGAAGGGAGGTTAGGACTCCCTTCTCTAAAAATAATCTGAAGCAACTACTTTGATCTTGAGTGAGGGATAACCTATATTGACTAATGGGGCAGAAAAGAAGTGAGCTCATTCCGTGTATTCTGTAACACCAACAAAGAAGCAGTCCAAGCCATCAAAGAAACATGCAAAGTTGAAAAAAAATGTATATATAGCCCAGAAGATCCAGACCAAAGTTAGAGAGGAGATGAAATAATTCTCATTATCAGCATTGATTCTTTCTCTTTAATCCAAGCACATATAAATTAGCCCAAGGCTAGGAGTGAAGACCACCTAAAGCTATTTTCAAGTCACAGAGCTTTGAAGCTAATTTAAGTCATGCAAATAAGTAGCAATTCTTGGTGAAACCCTTTAACTGAGCATGCTCTTCAGCTCTTATTCAGGCAGACTGCCTCCCACTACTAATATTAAAAGCATCATTTGTTGGGGTCTAGATGCCTAAAGATTAAGATATAGATGCTTAGAAGCCTAAAGATGCCTAAAAATAAAACCCAACTCACTACCATAATTCTCTAGGCAGAAAATAACTACAAGGGTTATGAAGAAATTTTCAAGGATGAGACAAATTTAAATACTATATTTCTGTGGAAATTTCTCAATAGGTACTTTTTAATCGTATAGTATCAAGATGACAAAGCACATTGGTTCAGTAACAAAAATATTCATTGTAAAGATAACTATGTTTTATTATAGAATGCACATTTGAATAAAAACCCCTTGAGATCATAGAGAATCAATCACATATCTTCAATATGAAAATCAAGCATTGAGATTAAGATGAAATCAGAATTTTATAGTTATAAAATGTTTAGACTAAAAGCAATGTTATTCAGAACATCATACTTTAAATCTTTCTCACTGACTAATAAACACAGAACAGTTTTCTGTTAAATTAAATTAATTCTACACTACCACATTAAAAATGAAAAATCAGTCTAAATGCATAAAAATGAAAAATCAGCCTAAATGCACATTAACTCTACAAAGAAAGTATGGGGGGATGAGAGGTGCAAAATAATTTAAAAGTTCTTCATCATAATTAAAAATCATCATCAACATGAAATTCATGTCCATCAATCAACAAGAATTTAGGAAGTGAATACAATATGTCAGGCACTGTGATAAGTGTTGGGAATAAGAAGGCGAAAGTGAAACAGTTTCTTCTCTCAAGGAACTCAACCTTATTACTCCCCTTTATTGTAACAGAAATAAGCATTTCATTTAGCTTTAAGATTTGAAATAAAATACACCTCAGACCAATCAGGGATGTACACCAACAGAAATAAAATTTTGGGAGACACCCTACCTGAGACAAGTGAGACGGTGTCTTTCTCCCATGAGACAACAGTGATATATGCCTCCACAGAGGAGGAGATAATGCACTTGAAGACAGCTACATTGCCTCTCATGGTTTTCTGGTCCTCCACACGGACTGTATAAGGTTCCCGTAAAACTAAAATAAAAAAAATATTACTCTCAGGGAGATATGTTTTATAGTGCATTGATGATTCTTTTTTTTTTTGTTGGCAAAACTTTTATGGATAAATATTTTTATCAGCATTTTTAAAAAATAAAAAATATCTTTTCAGACTTAAAAGACAGAACATTTTAACATCTTTTATCCTTGAACATCAAAATATTAACTGTTAAAATGATTTTCTATATGCACTTGAGAAGAGTAACTTTAATGTAACTTATTTGGCTCTCACACATTCTATCTAACATTTCAGATGGAAGACAATTATTGAAATGGAACTAGCCCTTCCTGAAAAGAAATAATAAAACAAAGTGGGTAGTAATTGTTATTCACATATTCTGAGGATAATCAGGTTGTGTTACAATTCTCAGGAAATGAAGCTTGTCAGTAAGCCTCATGAATAGCTCCAAATGGCAGTATGTGCAAGGCAGGTGTGGCTATGTGCTAATGCCAAGTGTTTCATCCAATAGAACATGGGAAAAACCTAAACATGAAGGGAACCCTTTTCAGTTGTGCACTCTCCAGCAAAGGGAATTAAAAATTTTTCTTGAAGATAAGATTTTTATTTTGGAAGCACACCACTGTAGCTGGAAATTGTCATTCACCAGCAGTATTATTTATATCTGCTCTGAGTTTTAGCCCTTAGCAAGTTAATTCATCCAGACTCTGCCACTAGCTAAATGTACGACTTTGAGTAAGTCATATAAGTCCTCTAGTCTCTATGTTTATTGGAGAGGGCCAACCCTCTCCTTGGCCTTGATCTCTCTAAAATTTTGTCATTCTGATTTACCCTTTCTGACTTTTTTTCTAAATTATATTTTGTTTCCATCAACAAAAATCCACCTTATTGCCCTCTCATTCCAACCCCACCCCAACTGAGAACAAAAGAAAAACATTATAAACATGTATAGTCAATGAAAACAAATTTCCCTATTAGCCATAGCCAAAATGTTTCTATGCCATTCTGCACTCTAAGTGTTTCATCTCTTTATCAGGATTTATCATTAATCCTCTGGAATCATAGTGGATCATTATACTGATAGGAGTAACAAATCTTTCAGAATTGTTTGCCTTTACCATAATGTTGTCACTGTATAAATTATTTGCTTCATTTTGATCACTTCACTCTTCATCAGTTCATAGTAGTCTTCCCAGGTTTCTCTAAAATCATCCCTCTCATTATTTCTTAAATTCCAATAATAGTCCATACCTGTTCAGTGAAATGCATTTCTGCTCTGTGTGTGTATATTCCCCTTGTTAGTATAGATGTTTACTTGTTGTTATTGTTGTTGAGTCATTTCAGTCTCATATGCCTCTTTGTGACCCTATTTGGGGTTCTCTTGGCAAAGATACTGTCATTTCCTTCTCTAATACGTACTTGAACATCATGATTTTATGAGACAATTTTCCTTAACCTTCCTTTCCCTTCTCCCCTTCCCCAGTGTATTTTTCCTCTTTTCTCTTTGCATTCTTCTCTTAATATCATCAAGGCATAACAATCAAGACATAATAAAACCACTCTCAGGTCATGTCTACTTGGACTGTTTCTGTGATCCCTGATGATATGGTTCAGAGGAAATACCTATGTCATCTCCCCATACCAGAATGTAAGCAGTTTATCCTTGGTTAGTGCTTTAGCATTGTCAATTCATATTTACCTTTTTATGTTTCTCTTCCCAAATTTTAATTTCAAAGTTTCCACACATTTATGGCAGTTCTCATCAGAAATTCTTGGAAGTCTTCTTTCAATTCTTTTAAGTCTTCTATTTCATAAAAAATCCATTCTCTGCACCCCACCTCTTAGGATTATACTCAGTTTTGCTGGATAAATTATTTTTGGCATGTAAGCTCATATAATTTGTTTTTCTGGATTACTGTATTCCACAAAGGCAAAAAGTATTTAATTCCTCTGCCCCTTTACTGTGGTTGCTGCTAAACAGCATAGAATCCTAACTATGGCTTTTCAGCACTTGAATGTGTTTTTACTTGACCTGGAAACTTTGTATTTTGGCTATGATTTTCCTAGGTGTTTTTATTTTAGGGTTTCTTTCAGGAGGTCACTGGTGTGTCCTTTTCTATTTCTATGTTGCTCCCTGGATCTAAGAGATCTGGGCAGTTGTTTTAAGATTTCTTAAAACAGTATATCTAGGCTCTTTTTCTTTTTGGCCATGGCATGAAATTAGTCTAATGATTCTTAAATATTTTCTTCTCATCTGTTTTCCAGATAGTTTTTTTCCCCTGTGAGATATTTTACATTTTCTTCTATTTTCTCAGTCTCTTGACTTTGTTTTAAATCTTTCTTGTTCCCTCCTTGAGTCACTGGCTTCTATTTGGTCCATTCTAATTTTCAGGGAGTTTGTTGCCTTCTCCATTACTATCATTTCTTTTCCAATTTTTCCTCAATTGACCATATTCAATTTATTAAAAAAAAATTAAAATATGTTTTTAAAAATCTCTTGCTTCATCTCTTTCAGGCATTTTTGTAGTTGAGTTTGTGCCCAGGCTGTGTTTTCTCTGAAGCTTTGCACGTAAATGTTTTGGAGTCATTCTCTTTTAGTGTTAGGTCTTGGCTTCCCTGCCACTCTAGTAGTTCTTTATGGTGGGATACTTTTTGCTTGTTCGATCATTTGTCCTGCCTACTTCTTGAGTTTGGACTTAATATCTGGGCTGGGCTCTGTTGCACTTCTGGAGGGAAGTTCTGGGCTGGGCTATTGTTTCTTTCCCTGGGTACTGAGGTTTGGGTTATTCCAGGATCTCAGGAACAGGTTGAGGAATTTTTAGTACTCCTAAAGTGGTATGATCAAAAGCAAAGTCTTATTATTGCCTGCCCCTACCCTTACTCCCAACTCCAACCTGGTCAGAACTCTGCAACTTCCTCACCTAAGTTTTTGACTGAGCAATAGTAAATATTGCTGGACTCCGCCTCTATCAGCAAGCTCAAAAGCATTGTTGATTCTGTGATGGAATTGTAGGCTGCAATTTGGCCTAGAATTCTTGCCCTGTGTAGTCCTCTGCAGGTGAGGCTGAATGGTGGGACTGAGATACTATCCTCTTCCTACGAATTGAGCCAAACTGCTGCTACTTGCTTCTGAACTTGTTCCTTTCTCAATATATTACCTATGGCCTTCCTATCCAGGAAAGCCATCTCCATGCAGAGGTCTTCTTCTCAGTCTGCCCTGGATCTGTGAATTCTAACTGGATAGTTGGTGACAAAGCTGCCAGTTAGTATCTGTCCCCATCGTGATGTCCTCTCACAAATGTGTGTAGTCTGCAAATCTAACAGACGTGTTATATTTAACTGTTGGGGGGACTATAAGGAAGAGACACATAAAGGAATATGGGAAGATACAAAAGACCACCTTAAATTATTTTCATATGTTTTCTTAGGATTATCTCTATTTGAAAACAAATTTTGCATAGAAATTAAGATTAATAGTTTTAAAATTGATCCTTACCAATGGAGTTATGACTCTAGACTTTATTGTATAACCTTTCTGGTTTACATTGCATTAGTTATTAAAGAAGATTCTTCCCTTCCTTATTTATGTGAGCTTCCATCTTGTCAAACCACTTGTATAGTACTGTATTAAATTTTGGGTAACATATTTTAGGAAGATCACTTAGAAGGTAGAGAGGAGGAGAGGGAACAAGCATTTTTAAATGCATCCTATATTTCAGACATTGTGCTAAGCACTTTACAAACATTATCTCATTTGATGGAGAGCATTCAGAGAACACCAACCATTCAGAGGTACTAGTTTTTCTTCTGGTTTCTTTAAGAAAAACAAGTAGGAAAGGGAATATGAGGAGAGAGAAGGACTTACACCAAATAAGAATGAAACTAAATAGCGATCTTGAGGAATTTTGATTTATGAAGTAGGTTAGACATTGAAGTTGTAGAGGAGAAACTTGAAGAAATTGAGGAAAATTTGAAGGACTATCTCTAGGCCTAAATTCTATAATACATCAGGTTGACAGAGCAAAAAAGCTTTAAGTACAACAGAGGACACTATCTTAATGTTAAGAGAGTAGGCTATGATGAGAGAAAAAAAATTCAAGTAAGCCTCAAGTGTTTAGACAAAATGGCCAAAATTTAGGCAACAAACAAGAGGAAATTTTACCTTAAATGTATCACAGAGAATTGGTAGGATAAAACTCATGGCAGGACTGTGGTTCTAGATGAGTATAGTTTATTTAAAAGAAACAAGATAGTTTTTTTTAAAAAAGGGTGAGGAACATTATATATATATATATATACACACATACATACATACATACATACATACATACATACATACATACATATGAAGAAAGTATACTCAGATCAGGAACTGGGGAAAAGTACAGTAGATAATATTTGTGTGATAATTAACAAAAGATGAAATAGAATTGACCTTAATGGAGAATGAAGAATGACAAACTGAACAGAAAAAGCAAAGACAGGATGAGCTTGGGGACAATACAAAAAGCATGGCACATGCTATAGTAGCAATAAGGGACTTCAATTATCCAAAGATTTGCTGGAGCATTCCTTCTCTTTCCAGCCAAAAGCAGCACAGTTAATAATTGTTTTACTTACCTTAATAGTAATTTATCCTTCATAAATTGAAGGAAAAAACAAGGGTGATGTGATTCTGATTCTGACTCCTTCCCACAGGAATAAACTTGTTCCACTGGGGTGGAAGTGATAAGAAGTTCGAGACATGACCACTATCTCCTCATTTGTGATAGAAGAAAATAGGATATCTGCATGTAGCCTCACATGTACCACGTGTTTGGAGAAAGCATACCTCAAAGGGTTCAGAGGAAAGAAAGCAAAGACCCTATGGAGTAAAATATCTCAGGGGAAGTTAGCACAGATATGATAGCTGATGCTCAAGGATAAAATTCTGAATGCACAATGGGAAGCAACTCCAATGGCTCTGAAGAGTACAAGGAACACATCAAGATATATGTATGTGTGTATATATACATAC